AATTACTAAAATTCTAAGTATCAGTAACACTCTGAGTATGTATCTTATGTATATATTTGCAGTAACCGTGTGGAAGCGTGGACTAGGGATGTGGACTTCCTGCTCCGTCAAGAAGGGAGACCCATGGTAAATCTTACTGGTGACAGGAAGCATGTGAGAGTGATGGAATCAGATTGGCAGAATACTGATAAAGCAGTAAATTGGATAAAGAAAGAAGCCATTAGCCTTACTCAACCGTTTGTTCTTTACTTGGGACTAAATTTACCACACCCATATCCATCACCTTATGCAGGAGAAAATTTTGGATCCTCTACCTTTTTAACGTCTCCCTATTGGCTTGAAAAGGTATGTGAAGATGAAATTTAAATATAAATTATTTATAACTGTATTGGTTATGAACAGTATTTTATTCCTCGTGATTTTTTAAGTCAGACCCAGTTTTGATATTTCAGTACACAGTAAGAAGGTGCTTGGGTAAGATATTAAATTTGTGATTTAAGGCTAAGCAAATAGAAGTGAACAGTTCTCTGTTACAAGAAAGGGTTTGTTAGCAGTCACTGAATCAATAAAGAAATTTGGGGTTAAATGGCTAGAAACCTATTAAATGGAGAATGAAGTCGTTGCTATACTTAGCTGTGATTTTTTTTCGGTAATAGTCTGAAGTTCATTGTTTATAACATTCTGTATTGTGCTTGTTGTAAATAATGCTATATGTCATCATTCTCTTAGTTTTGCAGTAAGAGACTGACTTTTCCTATAGTATAGGCCTAGAATGTGAAGTAGTAGTATGACACAGGAGAAGTCTCTCTTTTCTATTAACTTCTTTCTGTGCTACTGTAGCTTTTCAATGGTTTCAGAGTGCAGAAAAGTCCTATTATGTCCATATGTGGAAGCCTAACAGATAGCACTCCATCCTAAAGAAGAAGTAAATATTTTTTCTCTCTCGTGTGGTCTCCAGGTGCCATTATCTGTCAGAAAAACATAAATGGTTTACAACAGCTTTCACTGCATAAAGGCATTAAGATTCTCTGCAGCTGAAGAACTGAGAATTAGGTTTGAAAAGACTTTATGCTTATGTTATAAAATAACATACACAATTTATATACCTTTTGGCCTTTCCTACTGGGGAACTGCAGAATGTCTTTATCTAGGTGCAATAAAAATACAAAGACTTTAAAAGAAGGATATACAAATTAAGGTGGATGTGAATTTCTTTGTAATAGTGCAGGTTGTGGGTTCTTTTGTTCTGGGAATGGTGAGGAGTTTAGAAAGAGGAAGAGCATGGGGAAAAAAACATACATTTGCAAAAAGCAAGATCTAGCTCGGATATTAAGGGAAGCTTTCTAGGTTCTAATTGCTAGGTTAGACATGTCTTGGGAAGTGTAAGTACCTTTTTTCAAGTCACAGACAGAGTTATAACATCTCTGACACGTTTTTGTCATCTTTAATCCAGTTAGAGTACTTAAACTCTAGTTTGCTGAGGTCCTTTCAACCACCACATACACATACTCAGTTATGTGAACCACTTACTACCCTTTGTTGACCGTTGGCTGGTTCTTCTGGAATGTATCTGTATTTTGGCCATGGAAGAAGCAGTCTTTGGAGATGACAGATCAATCTCGTGAAGAAGTTTGAGTGCATAGATGAAGAACTTGAATTAAATTGTATGTTTACTGGTGAGCTAATACAGAACCGAGTATCGACATGGAATGTCTATGAAACCCTGTGTTGCTAAGCAGACTATCCCCTGTATTTTGCACAAGCTGACACTTTTTCAGGACATGTGGCTTCTTTCCTGAATTGTGACAGACAGACAAAGGGATTATGACTTTGTGAATCCTTAAAACTAGATTGTGGCCCCGTAGAAAAGGGTTCAGTCTTCTGACGCATCATGGATAGAGAGAGACAATTTTGCTCCTGTTATATCTTAACCAACTAATAAATACCATTTGAAGTGTGACTTTATATAGCCAAGGACCTTCACCGACAGGAAGATGAGTGAAGCAGTTGTCTGCTATTATTTCATTCCATGACTTCTTCTTGCAGCCTGTTTTATATAGAGCCTAAGAAAACTTAGGTTTTGTTATGGCTGCTTGACTGTTACGAAGCTGGCTTTTACCCCTGTGTTATGGGAACTTTAACACTTGCTGTCTCATCAGCTGTGTAGATTACTTAATACATCTGCTAGATAACTCAAGAGAGAATATTGACTCTTGTGAGAGGTGGAGCTCTGTGGTTATTGGAGCACATGGCCATTAACAGCACAGGTGGTCAAAGATATAGAATCACAGAATGGTTAGGGTTGGAAGGGATTTTAAAGATATCTAGTTGCAGCCTTCCTGCTGTGGGCAGGGACACCTTCCACTACACCAGGTTGCCCAAAGCCTCATCCGGCCTGGCCTTGAACACTTCCAGGGATGGGGCATCCACTACTCCTCTGGGCAACCTATTCCGGTGCCTCACCACCCTCTGAGTGAAAAATTTCTTCCTGAGATCTAATCTAAATTTCCCCTCTTTCAGTTTAAAGCCATTGCCCCTTGTCCTGTCACTACACGCCCTTGTCAAAAGCCCCTCTCCAGCTTTTTATAGGCCTCCTACAAGAAGGTACTGAAAGGCTGCTATAAGATCACCCCGGAGCCTTCTCTTCTCCAGGCTGAACAGCCCCAACTCTCTCAGCCCATCTCTATAGCAGAGGTGTTCCAGCCCTCGCATCATCTTCGTGGCCCTCCTCTGGACTCACTCCAACAGAGATCTATGTCCCAGAGCTGAACGCAGCACTGCAGGGGGGGAATCTCTTGAGAGCAGAGTAGAGGGGCAGAATCCCCTCCCTTGACCTGCTGCCCACACTGCTTTGGATGCAGCCCAGGACACTGTTGGCTTTCTGAGCTGCCAACACCCTGCTTCCCATCAACCAACACCCCCAAGTCCTTCTCCTCAGGGCTACTCTCAATCCATTCTCCACCCAGCCTGTGCTTGTGTTTGGGATTGTCCCAACCCATGTGCAGGACCTTGCACGTGGTCTGGTTGAACTTCATGAAGTTCGCAGAGGCACACTTTTCTCAAGCTTGTCAAGGTCCCTTTGTGCTTGAGAGATAGACGCTACGCTAGTAGCTCCCCAGACAGCTCTTAGTTATCGGTGGCCCACCTTTGGGCAAAACCAAAATTGCAGGAATTGATACTTTAATTGCTGTACCAATAAACAGGGATGCAATACTTTTTGGAACAGCTTTGGTCTTATTGCTTTTGTGCTGCATGAAGCCCCTTGGACAGTAAGTGCCTCAGTTTTATCAGGAACCAGTGCTGCCCGTGTTTGAGTCCAGCACTGGTTGGGTCCAGCTGCAGGAGTGGAGCTATGGCAGCAGCCCTGGGAACGTGCTGCACAGGCACTGGAGTTACTGTGCTGTTATCTAGGCCTCAGCTCTGTTGTTAGAGAAGATTTTCAGAGGTGAATGAGCGCAACAGATGTGGTTTTGTCGTTTAATAAACTTAAGTTTTCCATATTGAGATTACATATTCTCTGCTTTGTGGTCATTCATGCTCTAAATCTACAATATAGAAGTAATTAACTCTGTTAAATGCAGCACTTTCTTAAGGGAACGTTTAAGTGTTACTGCCTGGGCTAAATGTTTGTGTCAGACTTTGAGGTTCTAATGCTGGTACTGCAGCGCACAAGATCTGTGAGCACGCCAGTTTGAATATACAAATCTAGCATAATTTGTAATTCATTGACTCCTACTTTTTCATTTCAAACTGATCTTACCTTCCGGTACTTAAAGGGGGCCTACAGGAAAGCTGGAGAGGGACTTTTTACAAGGGCATTGTAGCAATGGGACAAGGGGCAATGGCTTTAGACTGAAAGAGCGGAGATTTAGATTAGATCTAAGGAAGAGATTCTTTACAATGAGGATGGTGAAACACTGGAACACGTTACCCGGAGAAGTTGTGGCTGCCCCATCCCTGGAGGTGTTCAAGGCCAGATTGGATGAGGCTTTGAGCAACCTGGTCTATGGAAAGGTGTCCCTGCCTGTGGCAGGGGGGGTGGGAAAAGAAGATCTTAAAGGTCCTTTCCAACCCAAACCATTCTAAGATTCTGTGGTTATTTATAACTAAATGAATTGACACCTGTAGAAACAAATAGAAAAGTTTTAGAAAATTGGACTAATGTAGTGAATTCTTTTCATGAAGGTGTCAAGACTTGTCATCCACTGTCCTGAAGACCTTACCAGAATTACTGTATTTCCATGTGGTTCTGTAGGCTCACATAACAGTCTCTCTTTTTGATACGTATGGTTTATTTATTCTATAGTTAATGAGACACTATGCCAACACTTCTGCGCTTACTCTAGAGTACTCTTCTAGAAGATTGTTCTGCAGTATCTCTCTTAAAAAAAATATATCAGCTGGTATAGCACATATTTCTGGCTTCTGGCCATAGTTTCTAGCTGATTTTTGTAGCTCTCTTTTAATAAAATTACTTGATACCTGTGGAAGCAGAGGGGAAGTATGAAGGAGGTAACAGCACCATGTAACAGAGAAGCAGCTGGCGTTTTCTGGACCACAAATTGAGAACTGTGAATTTATGCTAAAAAGTTTCTAATTAAATCTGTTTTTAAAAAATTTGTTTAATTCAGTTGCTGAAGTAATGATAATTTCCTCTTATTTTTAGGTAACTTATGAAGCTATTAAAATTCCCAAGTGGTCTTCTCTTTCAGAGATGCATCCAGTAGACTATTACTCATCTTACACTAAGAATTGCACCGGAGACTTTACAAAGCAAGAAGTGAGAAATATTAGAGCATTTTATTATGCTATGTGTGCTGAGACAGATGCCATGCTGGGTTGGTAATGTTTCATTATATAGTGGATTTTCTTTTTCTGATTTTTTTAAGAAAATGCTAATAAAGTGGGTCTTCTGAATAAAAAAAAAAAAGACACCACAGTTCGGATCTGGGAGTAAGTTGGATAGCTTTCAAGGCTATTGCAAGGTGAATTCAGAGCACTGTGAAAAGTAATCACAACCACCCTGTAAAAGGCCAGAAACTGCAGCAAAACATTGCTTGACCCATGTACAAGAAGAACTAAATACCCATTGACTAAGTGCTAACTGAAATAATGGAAACAATTGCGAAGGGGACAGACTGGCAAAGCGAAGCTGGAAGGAAAGATAAATTTTAGGGCATAAGCAGCTTCCTTGGAGATTGATTTCAAATGCATAGACTATTATGCATAGACTAAACAATAAGGTTACCTTTGAAGTCTCACTTAGCATATTATAGAAAGTTAAGAAGAAAAAAATTAATTAGGCATTAAGAATTCTTCGTAGTTTGCAATAAGATCTACATACAGAAAAATTGTAATGCAAACGGGTCTTAATTTACAATATTTTATTTCTTAATTTGAAAAGTGACAAAGAAAATAAGAATTTCCTTATTCATGAATAAATAAGCTAATCTTTTTAGCAATGTTAGAATGATAAAATAATTTAAAAGACACGGAATTACTCTTCCACATTTTATGAAAGAAAGATCAGCGATAGCCTGACAGCTTTAGAGAATGAAGGTATAGCAAAGTAACTGCACTGATGTTTAATTTGTTAACATATTTGAAGTTTTTAACTAGTCTGTTTAAGCAAAAATCATCTTAGTGTTTTAACTTTAAAGGTGGCAATTAAGCGAAGCACATACATGACTTCATTGGTCTTTGCCCTGTCTTCTTTGCACAAACATATGTTTGAGCAAGGGGCTCCTGTAGGCAAATAGGCACAGGAAGGAGAGATTTCCACTGATTATGTGTAAGGTGGATAGTGTCAAGAGTCCTTCATCCTAAATGTAGTGTCAGGGCTTCTGCTAACCCATTTTACTGCTGTTGAAGAAGCTGTTATTAGCTACACTAGAAATTAAAAAAAGTGGCAATAGCAAAAATGCAGCTTGTCTTGTGGTGCATCCTTCTTGCCTTTTGAGATGTTTATAGTTGTTGTTCAATGCACTCTGCCTTCTGTGGCAGAGAGGCATTTCCAACCCTCCAGCTGGGATTCGTCAGAGTTTGCATGCTGTTTTGCAGGTATGGAAGTTGGAAGGAATCTTTTGAACATATCCTTTTCAATATTTTTTTCTTGTTGCAGGTGAGATTATTTCAGTTCTGAGAGATACTGGGCTTCTTAAAAGAACAATCGTTATATTCACTGCAGATCATGGAGAACTTGCTATGGAACACCGGCAGTTCTATAAAATGAGCATGTATGAAGGAAGTTCCCATGTTCCTCTTTTGGTTATGGGGCCAGGCATAAAAGAACAGCAGCAAGTACCAACTGTGGTATCTCTCGTGGATATATATCCTACTATGCTTGGTGAGTTAAGTAATTTCAAATTAAAATTTTCTTCCTCAGTTACTAATTATTATTATGCATTTGTATTATGGTCAGAATTACATCTCCACTTTGTGAGGCAATGTAGTAACATAATAGGAGATAACAAATTACTTGTGGTGCATACACATGGACGTAATACAAATAAAAAGGACTGACGTCAAATTACTTACATACAGATGGAAATTACTTTTAAGAATGAATTTTTGAACAGTTACCTGTGATAAATCACGCAAGAGATTAATCTCTTGGGAACTAAACATTAGGTGAGGTTGCCATTTGAGGCTTTATCTGGGATCTTTTAGGCTCGTGATCAGAAAATTTTTCTTTTCAAGGCAAGCTGCAAAGCTCACTCTTTAAGAAGTGTCTCATGTACACTGCAATTGCCTGAGAAAATGTGGGGCAGTAGATGAAACTGTACTTCCAGCAGTAAAAGTCAATGAAAAATCTTTTTCTATATTGTTTTAAGTTGATTTTCTGAAAACAGAACAAAATATATTTATCTACCTGTCTCTTCTCAAAACTTTTGAAGCAGTTATCCAGTTGAAAATAGGATATAATCTGAGTAGCTTTCCCTTCCAAATTCTGATATCAAATCTTTTATATATATAAAGTAATCTGTATTAGATGTGGTTCTTATACAAGTTGTGGTATCATAGGCAGAGAGTTAAAGATTTCTTTTTTCTTCGTTGTGCCTTTTCCCCAAATAACATAATTGTTCGTTAACAACAACATCCTTCATTCTAGTTCTCTTCCTCCTTGTTTTTCTTCCCAGGGCTTTGTCTTGATAAGTCCTTTCCTTCTCTTCTGGCAGTTCCCCTTTCCTGTAATCTGAATGTCAAAAAAGGCACATACATCAAGATGAATGAGAAAACCTGGAGAATCATCTCTGGCATCTATTATCTCTTCAGGCTACATGCTACTGCTGACTAGTGAGGAAACAGATTTCAAGTCCTTTTTTCATGATAAACGTAGTCCCTTTGCTTTGCTTTGTCTCAGGGCCATAATCTCTCTTTAAGCCATCCTCCAAATGCTTTGCTCAATACTTCCTCGCTGACTTTGAGATTAGGCACACCCCATAACGAGTGTGGTACAGATGTTTTGATTCCAGCAGAATCTGTGTGTCGTGGGTCATTCTGCCAGGAGTGCAACAGCTCTTCCATTTTTGAACAGCATGTAGCATAACCTTTCCTCTAGACAGCACTGGCTTTGTTGGTCCACATGGAAGTATCTCTGGATCTCTGCTGGAAAAGCAGAAGGTGTCAGCCTGGAGCATTCTTTGCATGTGGAGAATGCACTTACTGCAATTAATAGCATTACTCATTCAGGATGACAGAAGGGGAAGGCCTATATCCCTTTTTCATTTGTTCAAATGTAGTATTTATTTGTTCAAGTTTTTAGCCCACACACTGGAAGCTCCTGGGTTTGCATGTTACAGGTCTGCAATGCCAGACTTTTTATTTACTAGAGGAAGAACTACAGATTAATGACAGGTATACATGCTCTAGAAACAGAAGAGAAAAAGGTGCTGATGAAGGAAGAAGTCACCTGTGGGCAATCTGGTTGTACTATCACCACTTGGCATAGAACAAAAGATAAAATAATGCCACAGTGCTCTATGAAACGGAAAGTGTTGAATTTTGAATGACTATATGCTATGTTCAGTAGGATGATTAAAAATAGCAGTACTGTCATACCCTGTTTTTAGGACATGCTGAAGTTTAGGTAACATCCTTGGGCTTCTCAGCTATGTTTTTCAAAATGTCTCTGAGAGATCTTTGCAGCCTCTTAATATTGACCTGATCTTTGGAAGCTACAGACAGTTGTGATGTAAGGTGATACTGAGGAGCTTATTCAAATTCAATTTACAGCATCTTCTAGGTGCCACCTGGTAGGCTATAGAGTCATCCTGTGTTTTCCTTATGTGCACTGTATTGACACCACCTCTGATACCATCTTTATCTCCAGCCCTGCCAGAGAAACAAGTGACTCTGTTCCTCAGTTTCCCCACCAGGTATAGGTGATAACCGTAACAGACACCTTTTGTAAAGTATTTTGTTATTCACTGATGAAGAATGCTAGATAGGAGCTTAGCACCGTTATTATCAGAGAAGTGAATGGTTAGACCATGTTCGATATGGAGCTTTTTAGGGTCCTTTTGTGCTATCACAATCTGTCCCTCTTTCCTGAGGCAGTCAGAGCAGAAGAGAAGGGTATAAATCCATGATTTAAACAAGTAAAGGAGCTCCACCCATCACTGGAGGCTATTGCAATTGGTTTTAACATCTGTTAAAGATTAGCTTAGACGTAGCTGACACCGCTTCTGATGAGGATGGTGGGCAACCGACCTTGAAAAGTTCCTTAAGTTCTTTTATTACTTGCATATTTTTGGGTTGCTGTGTTCTACAAGGAGAATAATTAGGAATGCATGTTCTATTCCTGTAATAGCATTTATGTTCAGACACCTGTAGCGTTACGTTAGGCTTTTTTAATCACAGTAACAGGAGTGGCGTTTTGACTTTGTGTATCTTTGCTTAGATATAGCAAGAATTCCTGTCCCGCAGAACCTCAGTGGATATTCTCTTATACCGCTGCTACGTGGAAAGGCTGAAACCGGTGTGTCACCCAGAGGGCCTCGGCCCTCATGGGTGTTGAGTGAATTCCATGGCTGCAATGTGAATTCTTCCACGTACATGCTTCGAACTGGCAAATGGAAATATATTGCGTACTCTGACGGCAGTTCAGTACTTCCCCAACTGTTTGGTATGTTACAACTTTTCTGTCCTAACCGACTGATTGATTTACTTAAATGCAAATTGGCTCTTAACTGACTTTTTGTTTGTTCCAGACCTTTCTGAAGATCCAGATGAGCTAACAAACGTTGCCATAAAATTCCCAGTAATTGTACGTTCCTTGGACAAAATACTCCGCTCTATAGTAAATTACCCAAAGGTTTCTTCTTCCGTTCAGAAATATAACAAAAGACAGTTTATAAGTTGGAAACAAAGTTTAGGTCAAAATTACTCAAATGTTATTGCCAACCTTAGGTGGCATCAAGACTGGTTAAAGGAACCAAAAAAATATGAGAGTGCAATTGACAAGTGGCTTGGTCAAAGTAAGTAAATAAAAACAACCTAGATTTAATCTGACTGAGGATGTGAAAACATTCTGCGTTTCTAATGCTATGCTGTATTTCAAGTGTTACAATTTCTGTCTTATATAAGCTATTGAAAGCAAAGATGCCCAAACAATTACTGCTTTGTGTTAGACAGCCAAAAGCATTTTATGCAACTAGCCAGCACAACAAATCTCGGATTTTACCTGTTATAACTCTGTCATACATAAGTATACATAGGATAGGAAGGATAGTACCTAAGTACTAATGGCATGTATGCAATATTTAGCTGGTTGCAAAAATGCACAGTATTAAGCATTAGAACTCAACAGGAATTTCCGTTTCTAAGGACAGACTAAAGCAAGGATTATAAAATTTAGTGTAGTGTAGTGAAATACTCTGAAGCCCACTTTTTGTCAAGGCAGATTTTAAGTCCACAGTCAATACACATTCATCCACCTTGAAGAAGCTATAGTGCTTAAAATATAATCAAGAAGTTAACAACTAGTATTGGTCTGAATATAGATGCAGTTTATTCAAGTACTTACTATGTCAGCGTTCCTGTTTTATGTACAATCCTGTATGATTGACTCTCCATCTTTTCAAGATAGGTCTTCTAACCTATTGCTTTTGGATCTGGAACTTACACTCCTTGCTGATAAAAATTTCATAATATGTATAGGCTACTAACTGAACATGTGTGCAAGCGAAGAGGAATCTGGTCTCTGGTCACTGTTGGAAATTAAAAGCAAAACAACAAACCCCACTGAGAAAAACTGTGAGTAGAGCAGTTCTCTGAAAAGTGTAGAGTGATTTGCATAGCATAAGATGAAAACTACTTGAATAAATCTGTTATGCAGTTAGATTCTGCAGGAAATGTTTTAATGAGCATCAACAAGTGGAGAGCTGGGACCTGCAATGTATACAAAGGAGATGCAATTGAAGCTTGCAGAAAAAGTTAACGTAAAAATACTCTTGTACATTTTCCCAGGGATATGATAAAAAAACAAAGCGGTTTTGGAAGAAGGTAAGATTTAGCTAGTAACTCTTCTGCTTAAAGAAAAATGTAATTGCAGCAGCACGTAAATTTGCTTATTCTTAAACACAGTTGTTGCTGCTATAGTAACAGTTCAGGATGACATTATACTTGATACCTAAATGCTTTCTGGAATCTGTAATGAAATACTCAGCAGTAGCAGTAAGCTACTAAAAACATGAAAAATGCATGTGTTTTCTGATGGCTAAGCACTCCACATGCATTTGTAAACAACTTACCACAGTAAAATTAGGTACATAATTATGAATGTTTTAGTTATTTGATATTTTTTTGTTCATAGAACATTAAGGCTAACCTTATGCTACGTACTATTATAGTAGCATTTTTTTCCTTTTGTTTTTTTTTGGTAGGCAAGGAACAAATTAATAGTTAAAAATCCTTCAAACACTGTAGCATGTCATTATAATTCTTGCTAAAATGACTTCAGAGAGTGATGAAATCATTTAAACGAACACATCTTAGCAGTGTAATGTAAACTGCTGCATAAGTAAAGAAAATAAGTATATCCATATGAAGGCTCATTCAGTGGGGAAAGGAATAAATAAATTGATCACTTTCCAGAGGTCTGAACAGAACGCAGTACATTTGCCCCATCCCTGAAAGTGTTGAAGGCCAGGTTGGATGACGCTTTGGGCAACCTGTTGTAGTGGAGGGTTTTCCTGCTGTCGTGGTTTTATAATAAAAGGACTGAGGGTCGAGACAAGAACAGAGAGGGAGCACCCACCAACCGTGGTCCCAGGCAAAACAGACTCAGTTTTCTTAAAACAAAACAATTTATTAACAGTTGCTTAAAAGGACAAAGGGAAGCAAAAACGGTTACTTGAGAGGATAAAGAGAAAAACGAGGCCATATCTTAAAAACAACACCTCCCCCCCCACCTTTCCTTTTGTTCCCGGCTCTACCTTCCCCCCAGCGGTGCAGGGGGACATGGAGTGGGGGACTGCAGGTCAGTTCATCCATATTGTTACTGCCGCTCCTTTCTTGAGGAGGAGTCCTTACACCATTTTCCCTTGCTCCAATGGATCCCCTACTCACGAGGAAAATCCACAAACCTCTCCAGTGTGAGACCTACCCACAGGATGCAATCCTTACCATCGGATCGCTCCACTGCAGGCTTTACCACAGTCTCGGATTCTTAGGGAGTTGTGGCCACTTGCTTCGGCGTGGATCATCCCACAGACTCTAGATGCCTCACAACCTCGTCGTGCATCCCAAGCTCCATTATTAACAGTTACTTGTTTTGCATCCCATGCTCCACGACCTCTCTAAAGCTCAGGCATCTTTTCCCCAATGTGGGTTTCTCCATGAGCCGTGAGTGGGTCTCTGCTCCGCCAAGCCCATCTTGGCTGCAGGGATGGGCATCTTGCCACTGGTTGCAAGGGAAAAACTCAGCTCCGGCACACCTCCTCCCGCTCCATCTTCACTGACCTGGTGTCTGTCACACCTGCCCATGGCAGGGGGGTTGGAACTAAATGATCTCTGAGGTCCCTTCCAACCCTAACCATTCTATGATTCTATGATTGATTGTTCAGAATATAGTAAAATAAAAGTATGGTGAACTGGATGTGTTTTGGGTGTGTCCTGTTTCTTTAATGACCAAAGGCTTAAAGAAATTAGTAGGGAAAATTGTATTCTGTCGGTTCTGTGGACACAGTGTTGTCTGTCTTTAAAGACAGAAGCTTTAAGATGTACTCTTTGCAAGTGTTGAGCTTACAAAAATGCAGTTTGTGATACTCTGTGAAATGGAAATACACACCGGAGAAACGAACTTTTTACCGTAATTCCTTACAACAACTTCTTGCCTCACAGACTGTCCAAAGCAGCCCAGTGCACGGGGTCAGGTTTCCAGGTAACGCAGGAAACCCCCAGAATTTGCCAGCCCACAAAGCAGAGCCACAGTGCCCGGAGGTGTGGATGCTGCCTCGCATGGCATGATCCTGTGGCCTGTGAGCCAACCAGTAGCAGACTGTGATCACATCCTAGTATTTCCAGTCTAGTACTTCTTTTTGTATCTGGCCGCCTTAAAATGCTTATTTAAAAAGAAAACATTGGACTTGTCTGTTAAAAGCAAAACTTTGACTTTTTGCAAGTTATTTATCATTTGTGTGTGAACCTTTGTTTTGAAGAGTTACAAAGAGAGAAGGGAAAAGCCCCCTAATGCCTTCCTTCCTGCCTCCGTTTGCAATAAACAATCTGTCTGTGTTGGTGCAAAACTGAGCTAATTTAAGTCCAAAACAGACACATTTAACAATGTGGCCGTATTCAGTTACTCTCTATTAGTTATGGTAATGTGTCTGCATTATTGTAATGAGTTTTTGCCAGCTAACAGAGGAAAACATTTCTCAAACATGCATAATGAGGTACACGGTATTACCATGGAAGAGACCCTGCGGAGTGAAGGGAGCAGGCTGGAATGCCAACAGGTTCACACGTATCTATTAGATGTGGCCAGGTCAACACAGCCTCTTGAGATTTACCTGAGATTACCAAGGAAGGGCATTGGCCTGATCAGCTTCTGAAATTGTATTTTATCTTAAAGTATTTACAAAGGCAGGAGAGGTACCACTGTCCTGATGAACAAAAAACGGTATTATTTTTGTAAATACAAGGTCCTAGTGGTCACTAGAGAGGTACGAGACTGAAAATGTGAATTTGCCAACAAATCACATGAAAATAATCACCTGCCGCCTTTGTCAGGATAACTAGCCTAGTCAGTGAGAAAAAGGTCAGTGGGGAAATCCAGACTTTGCATGTCCTTGGGCAATGGCCAGTCTCATCTTATTTTAAGCAAGCTATGGAAATAGAGTCTAGATAAAATTACTGCAAGTTCAGTTCACAACTGGCTAAAAGGAAACTCAGTAGTAGATACCAATTAAAAAGTGAGAAGGCTGATCAAATAATGTCTTCAAGAATTGGATGTAGTACTGTTTGGTACTTTTTTAATAAGTAATTTGAATGCCAGGAGTAAGCACTTTTTTCTTATTAAACATGAGAAAATGCACCCTGGAAGAGCTATCAGCACTTCTGAGGATAGGCTAAAATTCAAAGTAGTCTTGATTAGCTGGAAAATTTATCTGAAATCGATCAGATAAAATTCATCATGGATCAAAGGTCAAAATAAAAAAGAAGGAAAAATACTAAAATGGTGAACAGCACACTGCCTAGGCTGCAGTTTTGCAGGGGAAAAAAAGCCCCACATGCCTGGGTATTTCAGAGAACCCGAAGCAAAGGATGAATCAACAGCATGATGTGGTGACGAAGGAAACAAGTGACGTCCTAGGGTGATTTAAAGGAGTGTTGTATGTAAGACACAAGAGGCAATTATTTTATTCTTATTAACACTTGTGAATCCTCAGGGTATTACCTCCGCTTCATGGATTTGTGTTTTAAGAAGGACGTAAAGAGATGAGAGAATTTGGAGGAAAATAATATAAATCAGGGACTGGTGAATCATACTAGGTTTGTTTCAGCTGTCAGAGAAACCTTGACAAGTCCTTGACTATGAATAAGGCTCATACAAGAGCACAGCAAACGCTGCCACTAAGAATGGAAAAAAGAAATGTCTTTGTTTTTCAGACAGGGCTGTTCTGGTGAGCTGTTTGGAGAAAAAAAAAAAAAAAAAGAACTCTAAGTGGTTAACCATTAAAACAGCCTGTCAAGCTATCTAAACTGGTGTCACTGGAACTTGGGAAAAATAAGTTGGAAATATTTGTCAAGAACAGCCAAGGTATGTGTGATCCTGCACTAGATCAGGGAGCTGGACCAAATGCCCCGGGGATGCTCTTTGCAGCCCATTTCCGTGTGCTGGGTGTGGGTTTAGGCTTCACCACTGTTTATTTCTTCCTGAACAGGGTTCAGTCGCATTCACACAGCACCGTTTCAGCTTTACCCACCTTTATAATAGCGCTTTATCAGCAGCAGTTATTATGAATAGACATGACTG